TGTGTGTGTGTGTGTGTGTGTGAGAGAGAGTGTGTGTGTGTGTGGTGCCAGGCGCTGAGAGGATCCTAAAATCAGCAGTTCAACCAGACACAGAAAATGTGTGTAATCGTGTGGTGTAGTGCGTTTTACTCTGTCTAGTTATTTTCATCTAGTTCCATTTAAAAAAAAAGTTAATCTCATTTTTTTCAGTGGCCGATAAATGATATTATTGCTTAATTGCTGCCTTATATTTTTACATATAAAAAGTCTATCCCTGCTTTAATACACACACACAAACATATATATCGAAATATATGATATCATTAATACTTAAAATCTACTTAAAAATTCGCATATATATATATATATAAATCTATATATTTTCAATTGTATTTGTGTCTGTAATATCATAAAATATATACAATATTCCACTTAAATGGAGCCTAATAAATAATAATGTAAAGACATGCAAAGAATTAAAATTGCAAAAATATATAATATGAAAAACATATCTTTAAACATAAAGATACATAAACATATACAATATTTTACTTAAACTGTAGCCTATTAAATAGGCTAATTATATCAAATGAGGCATATGCAAACTTGCAATATATATATATATATATATTCTATGTAAACTATTCATTAAAATTCATTAAAATATTTACTATTTATCTAATACCCATTAAATATATAATACAAAAATATATGCAATATTTTACTTAAACTATATGTAGCCTCATAAATAATCATATCAAATGAGGCATATGCAAACTTGAAAAATAAATGTAAAAAATTACACACACATAAATATATATATCAGACAATATTCTGCTTAAAACTATTACTTAAAATCCATTCAGATATTTACTATTCATCTAATACAATTTAAATCGGCTGTAACTTAAGCCAGTAAGGATGCTGGTCAGTGACAATGATCTAAATATGACTGAACCAAGATGTACCTCAGAATGAGATGTGCAAAATAATATCACCTTGAATCCTCGATAAATAAATGTTGTGTTTTATACATTAGACGAGGCTCGAGTCCAGCCTCTGAACGCGCCATTAGTCTTCAAAGCGCACAAGCAGCTTTGGTGACGTCACGGGGCGCAAGGTGCTTTAATTGTTCGCTGTAAAATATGCGCCTCATTTCCACACGAAAAGATGATGAGCTGTCATGGCATGTCAATTTCCTTTAATGTTCTCTGCTACTTGTTAAATATGCAGAGGGCCAGAGGGAGGGGGGTATATAAGCTCTCCTGGACCCTCGACCTGTCATTCTGACCTCAGTCCATCATGAACGCACTCGGTGCAGTGCGCCTGGCCTGCTTCCAGCTTCTGCTGCTTGGAGTATTTGGGAAGCACGCTAATCACGGCACGAGGAATATGTCATCCAGAAGCCACCGGAATCATTTACCCACATACATGATGCAGCTCTACCGACACTTCAAGCTCAACCAAACGCGTCCCGTGGAGACTATAGAGCACGAGCAAGCGGACACCATCAAGAGCATCCTCTCCAAGAGTAAGATTTGCTTTACTGTCGTTCACAGCGGTTTAAAATGATTCACTAAACTTTGGGAAGCAGTCGCGCACCGAGGTGAAACTCTCCGAAGTGCCGCGGCTCTTTTGTTGCGGGCCTCGGTGGCTCCTGATGGTCAAATCTCAGCGCCAGACACCTTCAATCCACATCTGTGGCTGGATAAATCCGGGACTAATGCTCTGCGCAAAGCTGATGTGGATTAGAGCCTCGCCAGACATCCTTACACAAACCCAAATCAACATCAGCCCCTGGGCTCTTGTTCACACGCCGTCTGATTAGATTAGGAGCCGCGGGTTTCGAGGCGCGCGCGGGCTGCGTCGCTGGTTCTGGAGCTCTGGAGCTGTTAAACGATGGGTTTCGATCCGGTGTTCGTTCTGAAGGGATTAGGCTCGCGCTGCTTTGCCCCTCCGTTAAGATAAATCTAATATCTGATCGATACTGCATGACTTTTAATCAGACTGATGATGCTTATGGCATAATGCAAGAAGTTTAATTAAAGGGGTCCACACCTAATATTTAATATTTTGTACCTATAGTCTCATTTACACAAAGAATTACTGTGCTACAAGAGGGAGGAAAAAAAAGAGGTTTGTAAAATCAAGAGATTGATTATGTATCGATATAGTCATACTTCATCCTTATTATTGTTTATTGCTTCTTTAATATTGCGTAGATACAGCGAATTTAAAAATATTTCTAAAAGAATTGCAGTTTAACATAATTACTTTGGTTTGTTATTATTATTATTAAAATATTTTATATTATTATTGTTGCATGCAATGATTATTTACAATAATTTAGAAAATCATTAGACCACAATAAAAATATAAGAAACATTTTAAATCATAATTTTTATTATTATAATATAATTTGTATTATATTATTATTGTTGCATGCAATGATTATTTACAATAATTTAGAAAATCATTAGACCACAATAAAAATATAAGAAACATTTTAAATCATAATTTTTATTATTATACCAATTTGTATTATATTATTATTGTTGCAATGATTATTTACAATAAAGTATTTAGAATAAATAAAATGATCATTAAAATAAAAATATAATAAATATTTTTCAATTATTATTATTTAAAATATGTATTATTTATATTATTATTATTGTTGCAGTTATTAAATGATTATTTACTATAAATTACAATGCATTATTTAGAATACATAACCATTAGACTGCAACAATAAAAACTTTTTAAAAATTTATTTTTATTATTATTTTTGCAGTCTAATCATTATCTACAATAAATTAAAATACACCGTTTAGAATAAATATAATAATCATTAGATTGCAACAATAAAAGTAAATAATTTTAATAATAATTATCGTTGGTGTTGTTGACAAACCAAGCCAATATGTTGAACTGCAATTCTTGCAGAAATATTTTCAAAATCATTGGTGGTTCCTATATTAAAGAAAAAATGTGTTGATTATTTAGTCATCATTGAGTTGAACTACGCAGTAACAGGCTGATGTTGAATGGCAGAGCTCTTAACCACAGTCAAAATAAGCGGTTATTAGATAAACCAAAGCAATTAGCAATTTGAATGTAAATGTACAGCCAATACACTCCAGTGGACAAGAGCCTCATCCACGAGGATCAAAGAGTGTGTGTTCAGCTGCACAAATCACCTCATTACTGTTGGGTCTGTGTGCATGACGGTCAGTCCTTCATCCCTGGAGACAAATAAATATCAAACGAGCCACAGTGATGGGTTACGTCTGGAGTTGGGAGAATCTCACAACATCTGTCAAGAATAGGTCACATTTGATCCTTCTTTTCACTCAAATATTTAATCATTTATTTAGTCATTTGAATCTGATCAAATATATCTTTTAAATAATGATATCAAATGAGGCATATATACAAAACAGAAAAATTAATTATATATATTTCGATTTTTTTTAAAATATCAATGGCTGATGCATGATATAATTGCCCATCAGTGTATATATAATATGCAAAATTTCAACCAAGATTGAAAACTTTTTTAATTTTTACTTTTCTTTCATTTATTTTAAATAAATTCAGTTTTGCCAAAGGCTAAACTGCTTTTTATAGTAATATATGGAGCCTAAAAATAATGTTAGGAAATGAGGCATATGCAAAATTGCAAAATAAATAAATTATTTATTTAGATTTTGTTTCGATTTTTTTTCCAGTGGTTAATGGATGATGTAATTTCCCATCGATGTATAATATGCAAAATTTCTTTCTTTTTTTAAGTTTTGCCAAAGTCTAAACTGCTTTTT